ACCACACAAGGAGATACCTCCAAATGTAAGAAAATTTCAATAGATTGTGAACCTTAAATCAAGCAATGTACTCGTAAATCTCAAACTCAAGTTGGTTTAATTTGTCAACTTTGGATCTAACTTGACCTGTTTTTACAATACACATGTTGCAACCTTAGATTAAAACAAAAAGGGTAGATACGGTACGCTCATACTTGCATCAAACAAAAACTGATCCCACGGCAGCGCGAACGGGACGGCGAGATCCGCGTCACTGCATTACCGACCCGAGCGAAACAGCACGTTAAGTTTCAACGGCAGCGCGAACGAGACGGCGAGATCCGCGTCACTGCACTACCGACCAATCACGCGACCAGTACTCGACGTCACTACCGAATAAGATTCAAGACAAGCAGCTATTTTTATTAAAAAATATATTTTATAGTACTTACGAATGAAAAGTGATGCCGTGGGTTTTATTTTTAGTTCTTGAGCAATTTGAGCACTTTTTAAAACACACTTAGGCTTTGTTTTATCATATAAACACAAAATATTAGCAATATTTCTTTTTGGCGTTCACATGTACGTCGTTTGCATGTCAAGTTGTGACTAAAGCGATTAGGGTCGTGGACCACAATTGGTGCGGATCACTTTTGTGAGGCTAGTGCCGTATCTACCCTTTTTGTTTTAATCTAAGGTTGCAACATTCAATCACTCCTTAAAATATGCAGAGAATAAAAGTGTCTTTCTAACTGTTAGTTCGGGCTGGCGATACATTTTTTAAGACAAATTAGCGTAGTCCTAAACCTTACAGTGCTAGGGCTTGTATTATGTGATGCTATGGTAACGGATGGAATACATATTTTGTACATAAGTATATTTATATGGAAATACATATACGCTGGAGTATTAATGCACGTATTAATAACACATACATCTGCCCCCACCGGGATTCGAACCCAAGACCTCTCGTGTAGGCGACACCATGAAACAAACCACTCGGCCACGAAGATCGTCAATATTTTTTTGAGGTTCATTTTAATAAGTAGTCACACGAAAAAAATATGAACGGAAATCGTTCTCAAAAAACTCAATAATAATAATAATTATAGTCGCGTGTGAGCAGTGTTGCCAGGGCCGATTTTCAAAAATCGGGAGTCGTTATAGAAAAAAAACAGTAGATGTATGGAAAGAGCTACAAGAAAAACAGTAGATGCAGAGGCTTACTTTTTCCGATTTCCATCCCCCCCCCCCCCCCCGCCCTGCCCCCTCCTAGAATTGGTAAATCAAATCAAGATAAAGACCAATAACGAATGTGTTTCTGTGGCTTCTGCCGCCCCTCAAACCTTTTTTATTTAGACAATTACATTTATTTTATAATTATTAAGGTTATCTACATTATTAATGACGGAAAATGCAATTTAAAAAAGAAAATGGTATTCTAAAAACAGGAGATTCATGTAGAAAAACAGTAGAACAGGAGAAATTTAAGAAAAACAGGAGATCTCCTGTAAAATCTGGAGAACTGGCAACACTGAGTGTAAGTTTCAGTTTTTCAGAGACAAAAACGTTGGTGCTAAACTATAGAAACTAGAAATTTCCAGAAAATCTGTGTGTAGTACACACAGAACAATGGACCGTAACGTAACATCATAAGAATCATTATAGCATAACAATTGTATCCACATTCTTATAATAAATTAACTCTTTAATTAAATATTTTACTATCTTCAGATCCTAAGCTTAACTTAGTCTAATATTATGAATCCTCAACTGTAATAGGGATGATGACGGCCTTAAGTAAACGAAATTCTATAAATAAATAAAATTAAATAATCGAAATTCTATAAACAGAATATCATGTTCGACGAACTGAAATTCATCAGTTTGATTACCAAAAAAAATGGACACCTATTCTTTCTTCTGCCAATCAACCAAAAATTACAAAGAAAAGCGCGTCAAACTTTGAGTGGGGGGGGGGGGGGGGGCAGTGACGTCACTTCTAGTTAAAAAAAATACCAAGGCTTGACTCAATATATCTCTGTTATGTCTCGATTACGTCAATAAAGAAAAAATAGCGTGTCATATTCTTTTTGATAATCTGATACCAGTACCCTTAGCACGAACCAGTATCGAATTCGAATAGTTTACGAGTGCGAAATGACATTGTCAAATGTGTACTTATTTTTAGTTCTCGTTACGTCCGTTAAGGCGCTGCTGTTCGAGTTTCGAGATATTGGTTCGTGCTAGGGGTAATGATGTCTGATAGAAAAAAAAAAGTTAATCTTCATCCCTATAATTAATTAAAGGCACGCTGTCCTCAGCATCAGATTTTTCGCTTTCACTGCTCACTGAAAAAATAATTAATATTTATTTAAAAAACATAATACATAAACCAATAACATTAAAGCATAATAAAACGGCCATGCCATGCGTTAATAACAAAAGCAATGAAAGAAATTAGTACCTACGTAACTGAGCCCGGTTTTGTCATACACTGGTGTCGATTCTGGCGTGATTCTCTAAACTTAAAACTAAATTTAACATCAGTCTCTCCTTTTCATTCTGTATAGAGAATGACAAGGATACACTGTTGTCAAATTTAAGTTTAAATTTAGAGAATCGTGCCAGAATTCACACCATTGATTACCTATTAAGTTAATACAAGGTCTTTTCATGTCTAAACTGACAAATCTATATCATCAACAATAGGGTATTTGACAGCATAAAAAAATAAAATCCCAATTGTTAGCATCTGTGTTTAGAATGAATATTGGCAGGGATTTTTACTATTTTTACAGAAAAAATATATTCATAATTTTACTAAAAACCCACGAAAAAGAAGATAGTTTTCGTATCTATTGTCACGTGACCCAAAACGCTTGGGATTGGCGGAGCCTAAAATGACGTCACACGCACGTAAACTTCCGGTTAAACCGACATTAGGGTGCGGCCAGAGTGCACTCAGATTCAGAGTCAGATTCAGATTCAGATTCTGAAAACAAGCGCGAGAAATAAACAGTGTAATTAAAGCAGGGTGGCCATAGTGGCTGCAGGCAACCTGCTTAAACTACACTGTATATTTCTCGCGCTTGTTTTCTGAGTCTGAATCTGAATCTGAGTGCACTCTGGCCGCACAAATACAGTGTAGTTTAAGCAGGTTGCCTGCTGCCACTATGGCCACCCTGCTTATTTCTCGCGCTTGTTTTCCGTAGTAGTGTTGTCAATATGGCGTCGAAATCATGACGTCATTACTGCTGGCCAGCGTACTGTTGTACATTTCGGAATACACCCAATGGCTTCTCCCCTCCTGGCCGTGTTGCTCTATGGTGTATTAGGTCGAAAATACCTTCTTAAAATGATAGTACAACGAAAATGGCAGAATCGGGCTCAATATAATATTAAGCTATACTAAATTTCCTATTACCGATAAACAAATGTCCATTAAAATAAAATTCAAAACTGAGAAATAAAATGTATTGGTCGCGTTTCCATTTTAATTTGGCCTAACTAAATTTGAACTAAATAGCTATTTTCAAATCAACCCAAGAATATAAACACTCCAAAACCCTATCACTAATTAAGACAAGCAATTACTGAAAACGACAAGTCTAACTAGGTATATAATATTTACAAAAAAAATTAAGCTTAAATACATTTTCCACTAACCTTAGCATCCGTACGTAGTAGCATATATACTCTACTATATGGTATGGATCCGTGAAATTTTAAATAATCTGGATAATATGTTTTTTTTTATTGTAATGGCTCGCACGGTTTGTGCATTGGCCACGACAGAGTACAAAATATTTGTTTAATGTTGTACCTACCTATTCTTTTTCTAAAATATCTGATCTAGGAAAACATTGTTTCTTCTAAAATGTTCTGTTACAAAATTGCATGTCTGGCAAATTTAAAAGTATATATTTTTTTTAAGCACGTAACTGCTTGGTGTTTTAATCTAAAGGAAATATAACTAGAAAAAAATCCACGCGGACCAGGCAGCAGACGGGACTCGAACCCGCACCCTTCGCTATCCGGGCGAATGCACTGAAAGTATTAAACATTTGAAAGAAGAAATAGAAGTTATAGTTATGTTTTTATAGTTTTTATTATAAATAAAAACATAAGTATAATTTCTATTTCTTCTTTCAAATGTTTAATACTTGAAAAAGTATTCATTTGACATTGTGGGTTACCTACAATGCGAAGAGATGGCGCTGCCTTGCAGCTTAAGGCTAGGAAAATTTCGACGCGGCAAATAGGGCCGTGGTAGCATAATGGTCAGTGCATTCGCCCGGATTGCGAAGGGTGCGGGTTCGAGACCCGTCCGCTACCTGGTCCGCGTGGATTTTGTTCTAGAAAACTTTTCTTTAGATTTAAACATCTAGCAATTAAATGCTTCAAAAAAAAAAAAAACGTAACTAGTACAAGCAAAAAATGAGGAATATTCTTAATAAGGAGGTGAATGTTTATTAAGAAATATCAAGCTTCGATTTAATGAACGCGTCTGATGTATTTAAAATTTCACAATTCTCTGAAATAATGAACCCAGCACCAGTAGATTCATTTAAATATATAGAAAAAGCAGAAACACATAACGAGAAATCACAAGAACGTTTCACAAAAAGATATCGCGTACAAATAAAATAAAAAAAGAAGAAAAAAAAAATAAAATACATTCAAATATGTGTGCGTGTCACATTGTAACCGAGTGATTTAAATAAAACAATGATTGAAAATGCTGATTTATTTCACATAAAAAATCACGTCACATGTATAATAGTATAATACAGCTAGCTCGCACCGCGTCGTTACATTTATATGTACAATTATCATACTGCGGTGTGTTGCAAGCGACTCGCGTCTCAGAACTTCCACGGTAAGCCAAATCGTATCTTTAGATGACGGAATAAGGTTACTTTTAAAACTAGAAAGCTTTACATTTGCGTTACAGATATGGACATAATATAATTTATACTAATTTCTGTACATTAACGAAAAATTAATAAGTAAAAAATAAATACCAAGTTTATGTTCATAGTTTATTTTTCAAATTCTACATTTGGCATTGTTATTGTAAAACATTGTTCATATAAAATTTTGAGCTTTTTGAATGTGTTCTTGTAAACGTATGCACAAAAGTAATTGTTCACAAAACATCAGCATCGTTTCATACTTATTTATTAACTTTTATTCATGTAAAAATGTGAAGATGATTCTATACTACATATTACATTACACCTAAAATTTTCTGGTATATAAAGGCTTTCAACCTAGACATTATAACAAGAGAAATAAATAAATAAATTATAGTCTACGGTTAAGACTAATTTCATTAGCTGTTCACATGTTAAAATTTGTTTTTCTTAATGCAGCATGTTTAATTCTGCATGTATTACAGCATGTTTATTTTATTTAGCAACGATAAAAGGTTATGTGCTGTCTGTAACGTACCTCAGGAATCGTCCCATGGTTTCGACTTTCATAGGTTCCATTTCATACATTTTCTCATCTAACATCATCGATATTCATCAGGCATAAACATATATTTAATTACGTATTTTTGGAAACACACAATTTCAAAAATATCACACACTATTCATCATTTTGTAAATATGTATAATAATTCCTTCTGCACTGAAAATCACTATTCCAGAGTGCTGGACACTTACCGGCATTATCTATATTCTGTTATTTATTTAATTTTATTGTATTTCTCCGATTTTATATATTTTAGGCATAAATTACTTTCTTTATTTTCTTGACATTTGTGACACTTTAATGTTTTTTATCGGTTGCCATGGCTACCCATGACACGGATACTCTCTGCAACTATGTCTCTGCATATTCAACCTCCACAGACCACCTACTTTGACTTTTTTTAGTACGATTCGAACCGTGTCTTAATTTAAATGGTTCCGGACCTATAAAAGGCCGAGCCTCCCTGATGAATATCGATGATTTTAGATGTTAAAATGTGTGTGAAATGGAACCTATGATAGTCGAAACCATGGGACGATTCCTGAGGTACGTTACAGTGCGTGCCGTCACATGTTGTTCATTAATTCCTACGCAACTATATCCGACAATGTGAGTATTAAACTTAATACATTCTCGCCTATTTAACCTTAATAGACCAAGATACCTTTGTTCTAATATCTAACGTTACCAAGTATTTAAGAATAGCAGAAGAAAGATTCGCAGAGGAGTTAACGATTTGGTTAGTAGCAGCCGACACCGCATGAGTTCTGCCGTCATTCCATTCTCAACCTTTGCTATTTCAGTTTAGGTTGAAACTGGAATGTTGGGATGGCTAAGCGCTTGCAGATTAATATTTTATAGGAATAGTCTTTATAAAACTATTTCCGGTCTTCATTAAAGCATGCGTTATAGAATTTTTAAAAACATTGGAACATACAGTCGAAGAAGACGGTCTCGCAAATTCAAATCTATTTCTTTCCTTTAAGGCACTTTGCAGACGACGGGGCGGGGCGGGCCGATCAATTTCGCCGCGAATAATAGCACAAAGTGAATCCTATACTACAAACGCACACAGAGGGCAAAAAGACCGCGCCTTGGGTGCCCGGCGGGCACTGGCGGCGCGGCATGTCCGCGGCTGCCCGCCGTGGATCATACAAACCAGTTTATATGCAGTAACGCAGACGGCGGCGCGGGGCGGCTAGCTCAGTCCGCGCCACGCGCTTATTAGTGATGGACTATTCACTAGAACGAACGTCCTGAACTGACCGCCTCTGCCCGTCGTGTGCTTTGTGTACGCGGTACGGGCAGCCGCAGACATCGACGGGCAGACGCGGTCTTTATTGCTTCGCGGACAAAATGCCCGCCCCGCCCCGTCGTCTGCTCAACGCCTTATGGGTTTCAGTTCAATAAGTGGTAGAGCTAGAGGACTTGCTCCCTCGACTGCACAATCGGCTATAATTTAAACTAAGTCAGTAATTTACAACTGATTCAAATTTATAGTTTACAAAAAATTAACTTTCCTTCACATTTCAGAAGAAGTTGGCAAATAGATTTATTTATTGGATTGGATTATATAAATATTGGATGGATTTCAATTGAGTTTTTTTTTTGTGTTAATTAAATAACAGTACCTAATTAAAATAACAAACATTAATTTATTATTTTCTCTAGTATAAAAGGATAGATATTTGTTTTTTCAATATTTAAAGAGCATGCAACAAAGTCGAAATCAGTGTTAAATTGATATTAATAAAATTATTTCAATAATATTCAAGGTTAGAATGTTTTTGACGTTAATTTTTATTTGTTTCAGCTATTGTGAGTTTATGTTGTTCCGACAGGTTATTTTCTTTATTTTTTAAATAATTATAAAATATACATACCTATATAATTATAATATGAAAAAGAATACACTATAATTTGAAAATAAAGATAATTTGTTTCTTAGTTTTACACGCACATCACTCATTAAATAAAACAAGTTTCAACGGTATACATGCATTGATTTATTTATTTATTTACTTTGTCTTTGTACTAAAATCATAATTTAGACGACGCATCCTTTGATCTATATATATAAAACTCAAAGGTGACTGACTGACATAGTGATCTATCAACGCACAGCCCAAACCACTGGACGGATCGGGCTGAAATTTGGCATGCAGGTAGATGTTATGACGTAGGCATCCGCTAAGAAAGGATTTTGATCAATTCTTCCCCCAAGGGGATAAAATAGGGAATGAAAGTTTGTATGAAACTTTGTCAATTTTAAACCGATCCGGCTGAGACTTTGCATGCAGGTATAAGAAGAATCATAGATGAATGTCATTGTGTATAATACAAGCCTGAGAACAAAAACTGTAGTCTACACTTCAGCTCTACACCGAAGCGAAGCGAGGGCGGGCCGCTAGTTATATTATTAATTTTATTTATTTTGTCTTTGTAATAAAATCATAATTCAGTCGACGCACCCTGAAAAGGATGCGAAACGTAAATAAATCGGTGCATCTTTACCATTGAAACTTGTTTTATTCAAAGCTTTCACCTTTTTTATTCACGGTGGTAAATATTTACACTGCTACAATGTCTTATAAGAAACAAGAATATCAAGAATTAGCTAGCTCCGCTAGAATTTATAAGCCGCTACGTCAACATTGCACTAGCTGACATTCATTCAATAAATAAATTTTCCCTCAAAAATAGTGTCGTGCTACATACGATAATTTCATTATCGATATTTCATTTTCTACACATTGAAACAATAATAAAATCTTACACAACCGAAGAAATTTAAAAGTAATAAACAATTTTACTATTCTGCTCAGAGTTTGTTTTTTTTTTATCTATATGAATCTGCATTGGTCCTACAGATAAGTCATCATTTCATATTATGTGACCAGTTGCATAGATTCAAGAAGGATGTATGCGTTTTCTGTGAGTTTTTGTGTTGGACCCAGACATGTATAATATAATATTACATAGAACCTTTGAAACATACATCTGAGCTTTATACTTTTGGACACCAAGCAACACTTAGCACTCAACCGTAACCATGTGTTGCTACTTACTGGTGGTCTCCTATGAAGAGATAACACTTATCTGTGTCTCCATCTATAAAATAATAAGCAATTAAATGATAATATAAGAGAATACGATACTGTATTTAAATCTAATGTTTTTTATTGAAAAACGAAATATCACACAGTAAAAGTAACCACGCCCCTTTCTTAACGATATACTGTTAAACAAGTTAATGCATACCGCTTGAAATAAGAACTCACAATTGTTACGTTATTAATATAATAATATGTCAATTCATGCAATCTCACATAAAAATATTTTGGTCATAATAACCTTTTTTATAGAGTGATTGTATGAGCGTAGTATATCAGAAATCAATAAATTGTAACTAATGGGTAAATTTATAACTAAATAACTAACAACATTATTACGTTTACACAGCTATTTTCTAAATACATTAAATATTATTGAAAAAAAAACATTATTGGAGTTTTGACAATATTTTGTTAATTACAAATAAAAAGAAAATTATCATCATATTATACATACAAAAATAATCTGTTTTGAGATCCTTTGATGTTAAAGTACAAAATCGCGTCTCTAAGTATAATTTACTGCTCAGTATGAAAATCTTTATCGATTATGTATCATAAATAAATATATTGACAACTTTTCTACTATGGTGCTTTGAACACATGTAAGTGCTCTTTTTATTTTGGTGAACGCTATTGCTTTGCATTTAACGTATTATCGACTGTGTCACATCACTATCACATCGCTTAGATGAGGCCGGTATTGGCATGTAAGCTTATTGCTTACGAATAAAGTGCATAATTAGCATAGGTGATTTTCCAATTACAGAGCATAATGCGACTCAGTAGCGCACAATGCCGAATTATGCTGATGCTTAATTGGAACGTGAATTAGTTTTCAAATGCACCAGCAGAGTGCGCTAAGTTCAGTGTTGAAAAAAGGCAATGTTTGTACCTTCATCCATATTTATATTTAATTTTTTAACACAGTTTGAATTAACTTTGATTATTTAAAAAAAAACTATAATGAAACGAAAGTTTTAATAATTTTTCAACAATAAATAACATTACTAACGATAACATATAAATAAAACATTTCGATCAATGCCAACTTAAAGAAAAAACACTTGTTAATTTGTCTCTGAGTTGGTACGATTGCACGCATCACACGAAAGCATTACTTTTGAGAGTGCTCGATTGTGCGAAGCGTTGCTGTAGTTGAAACACTCAACGTTAAGCATTATGCCGCATAATGCGCTATAATGCCGTAATTGGAAAGCTACCATATTTTTCATATTCAGAAGTGGACCGCAGTAAAATGTTAACTCTGCATAATTACACCTCTACTATTAATTAATCAATGAGGGCTATCGCGTATGAATCCGCCGCTAGAGGCGCTACTGTAGCGTGAGGTCTCCGAAATGTCAAATGTTATTGCTTGTTGGTTGACTACGCGGGTTTATTTCTAATTAAAATAATGTTGTGAATAATTGGTAACAATTCGGCTTAATTATGGCAAATATGAGTTATGTGGCAATGAATGTCAGTTATTAAAAATTTGAGCTTAGAAAAATGATTATGTGCCCATTTTTTCCGAATAAAACGGAACTGCGCGTCACTGTGGCATGGCCTATTATGTTTAGGATATGGTTCTTTTGTGTTAAAATACGATCTAAATGTAACCTTTGATTCCATGTGCGTATTAATAAACTTTAAAAGTTACAATTTAGGACCTCACTCAACAGTGGCGCCATCTGGTGAGGTAGAAAACGGTAACCCTCATTGAGTAACTACACTAGCATCTACATACACGTTTAAACAACAACAACCCAATAAGAATAAAAAAATAAAATTTCATAAATTCCCATAAATATATTTCATAATGTCTGTATGTGTGTATGTATGTATTTATCGTAAGTATTTGTGTATATACATATGAATATATATTTATGTACGTAGTCTTAGATAGGTACCTATATAATCTGCAAGTACTTAGTGGCACATCTCTACACCCGCTTAATATTTTCTCTCACTAAACCTTGGTTGGCTGGAAGAGATCTCTCTTAGAGATAAGCCCTCCTCTGCTCACATATTTATGTTTTGTATCTTAAAATTTTTGTGTGCAATAAAAAGTATAATAAATCATGTAACTCACATGATTTAAGGGAATTTATGAAATTTTAAAAATAGCAATTATTTTTCGCCATAATCGAAACTATGAACAGGTCATAGATCATTTACAAAATATAATGTTTGTACAGTCATTTGGTGAGAAATATAGTGGTTATCTGGAAAGTTTTCCGAGAGTTTTGAAAATTGGTAATTTTATAAATTTTGAGGTGCTCTTTCCGAATTCTGACTTTGCCACCTCGTATTTTTTCCGATCGCGTCGCCATATTAGAAAAATGGCGCCTAAAAGCAGTTTTTGACAATATCTTTCCAACTCATTTTACGATAAAAACAATTGTATACCAAATGAAACCTACAGACATTTGCCTACAATTTATATCAACCTTTTTTTGACTGTACTATTAACTGAATTCTCAGAAATAAGATTTAGGTATATTTCGGTTTAAGTGACAAGATGTTATTGATGCTAAGTATGTTATTTTTGTTGTTATATCTGTTTCTTATGTTTTCACTCATTATTTGGTGTTTGTTTATATTTAGTGACCTGAGTATACACCGTGTTCTTGAGGTTATACACTAACTTTGGCATGTTATTCAGACTATTAAATTGATCATTTTCTACTATGGACACTTTTATGAATTCCAATTTCTTTAACATTTTTTATTTTCATACAAACTAAATGCTTAGATGTAATTTATCTAATATGAATTACTCTTTAGCTGAGCTGGCAACGTCGCATTTGAAACTGTAGTTCACATGTCCACATGAACTTTTTGAAACTTTTCTTGACGTCAACAATGTTTTTTAAAATTTTGACTTTTGAAACTATGTCTTAATGACCATTGACAAAGAGTTGATAGTTTGATGGTTTTGGTTGCACAAAGTGGCAACATCTCACAGATAAAGACTCTTTCTCACTGCACAACACAATTAAGTCGGTTAAACTTAAATTACCAATAACTTAAAAACTATGCTATTTAAACTACTACTTTCCTTGTACGATATGTTTCATCATCAGCCTATTAATGTCCCACTGCTGGGGTACGGGCCTTCCCTATGGATGGAATAGGAAGATTGGGCCATGACCCACCACGCGGGCCCAGAGCGGATTGGTGGGTGTTAACGACTGCAGATGCAGCCGGGACCAACGGCTTAAAGTGCCTCCCGAAGCTCGGAGGAGCTCGAGATAGTAAATTTTTGGTCACCCATCCAATGACCGACCACTGCGAAAGTTGCTTAACTTCAACGATCGCAGCCGAACGCACTAACCACTTGTGCCATCGAGCTCCTCCGATACGATATGTTTAACAAGAGCTATAGAAGTATTATTCAAAGTACATGTATATCCTTAGGAACACGGTGTTTATTATTAAACTATTTATAAAGCGACTTTTTAATTATTTTTTATTCAATTCTTTTTCACGGTGTAGTCATTTTTTTTTTAAATTAGCTACTGTTGCATGTTTTTTGTTAAAGAAACGTTTTACTTGTCGAAATAAATATTGTCAGTTGAAAGTTTTCATTACAGTATTTTACCTCAATTTTGATTTTAATACAAGATACATGTATTTTTTTTGAACATAAGATGTCGCCTACGTCTGTGTCAAACTAACATATGTAGCTGGAATTACTTATTTTCGTATCTTTTAAGCAGATATTGGTATCGATTCTGGCGTGATTCTCTAAACTTAATACTTAATTAAATGAAACTAGTTTTTACGGGTCAATGCACGAAACTTTATTTATTTATTGACGTTTCGTAGCCTTTACAGGCTTCGTCGTCAGAATAAAACTTTTATTCAATTTGTCGAGCTACCTTCGAAAGACTTTTATTGAGCGTTTGGTTATTTCCTTGTTCAATTTTTAAGTTTTATTGTCTATGTATGAATTTATTATTTAATTTACTTAATAAAGTATTTTATTTAAAATTCTTTTTTGTAATTTTGAGTTTATTTATTTGACCCTAACTACCGTAAACTACCACCGGTTCCAAAATTGGGAGACCTTTCTGAGAAGAACCGGCGAAACAAACTCAAGAGAGGTTTTCTGTCTCCTTCTTCTGTTACGTCAATAAATAAATAAAGTTTCGTGCATTAACCCGTAAAAACTAGTTTTATTTAATGAGTGATGTGCGTGAAAAGCTAAGAAACAAATATTGATACTTAATTATTTGACAGTACTTTTTTTTTCTTATAAGATTACTATACTAAGTTTTAGGTTTAGAGTCATGTCAGAATCAGGGCCTTTATTTAACGGGGAAGAAGAGAAGCAGCAATGATAAGTTTATCTTGAATATCAGGGTTAGTTCAGAATATTGAGTGCAGGAATTTAGAACGAACCATTATCGAACACCGATAGTTGAATTCGATCTATTTTGTACGTCAAACGTTGATTTTTAGTTCTCGCTACGTCCGTTGTGGCGCTGCTGTTCAAGTTTCCATACAAAATTTGACAATGACATTTCGCACTAGCAAACTATTCGAAGTCGACCCTGATAGTAATGTAATGAAAAGTAATTTCATGAATCACCTCTGAAGTCATTTTTCAATTTGACGACTTTGTAAATAATAAAACAGGGAGAAAAAAAAACAGCCCTTTGCTGAGTTTCTTGCCGGTTCTTCTCAGTACAAGGTCTCCCGCCGTAGATTTACGAACCGATGGCGTAGCTTCTAGACATTCATGAGTGCTTGTAACAGCCTAAACTGAATAAGTGGTTTTGATTGATTGATTGATTGATTGATAAACGTCAAAACGTCAAACTATGACCAGCGCAACAAAAGACGTAATGAAAATTAAAACATCTTTCATACGAAACTTTTTGACATACGACGCGATACGAGATCCAATCATATTTGAATTCGATATTACGTGCTGAGGAGACAAGATAATTAATAAAGAGCCCTTTCACATTTTTTGCAAAAAATCGTAATAATTTTTAAGCGCCTCGTTTACCCCCTTAGAAAAGATTTTGACCATTTCCGATGGAATTAAACAGTAGATTTATTCTTCCTATTGTAAGTTAATGTAGAATATTTGCAAATACTATTATCCTTTTTTTTGTACTGATCGTTCTACCGCAGCTAGTTTACGGAAGAAACGATAATATGCACAACTTCAAACGCCTCAATCTCTCAATGATGTTCAATAAATTAGATCAAATTAATTACTACGACATCAGATATATGTTTTTGTTGTAACATAATGTATTAGAATTTTGATTTTCCATCTCATTAATTATTAAAAAATAACATCTACACCTTAAGTTTTCCCAAAAAATAATGTAGTATTTTGATATTCAATTAAATAGAATTACTGTCCAATAGTTTCATGAAACTAATCTACCATTATTGAACTACTGAAATATGTGTATATATTTTTATAATTAGTTTATTAATAATTGGAACGAAGTTCCTTACGGCAGGCTTGGAGGGGATAGGGATTTTGCTGCGCGACCGAACTGAAAAAAATGTGATAGTAAAACCGTAAGAAAAAATCCGTGGAAAAAGTGCGTGGAATAAAACCGTTAAATGAGACGTGCGCAGGCGCGACAGTCGCATACACAAGCGAGTTTTCAATTTGTGTCGATTCTACATTAGCCGAATGAACTTCGACACCACATCATTTTTATTATTTTATAGGACTTGAAATATCACCCGAAAAATGCAATATATACTAGTGCAAATCTACCTACGCTCCGATCAGTACGGCAGCGGCGCAATTTTGTAAAAGGGCTCTTAAGGTGTAGAATTTTCTGTTAAGATTTAGAGAATCCTGGCTAACATTCAGTGTAGAAAAAAGCAGCAGTGAGCGATGTAATTTGATTATCGACTATTATCTCTTTAATGGTGCCGATTCTGGCGTGTTTCTCTAAACTTTAAACTAAATTTAACACCAGTCTCTCCTTTTCATTCTGTATAGAGAATGACAAGGATGTACTGCTGTCAAATTTAAGTTTAGGTTTAGAGAATCATACTAGAATCGACACCAATGACAGGGTTAGTTCAATTAAGGTTGCGTCGCGCAGTTTTGAGTATAGAATAATTTGTTCAGGTGTTGAGTTTTGGCTTTAAACAATCATGTCACAATCGAGGCGAGCCACAGAACACAGAAACGGGTTAGGACCATGTGGGCGGGGAACAGTTACGTGTGAGCAAATATTCAAAAATAAATAAGGCATTTTTTCAACATTGAAAGTCACCTTTAATGCATATTGTATAAGGTCCTAATTAAAACGCATGCGTCAGAGTTATGACAGTTCGCAATGCAAAGCTCGTAAAATTTTACGACTCATTTCTGTATGCGGAAGAATATAGACCTTATTTCTTTGGTTGTACGTGCAATTTTAAATAAATAAATATTTCCAACACTCACACCAATTAGCCTAGCTCCAAAGTAAGCACTGTAAGGCTTGTGTTATGGGATACTAGGGTAACGGATAGAATACATACACTGTACATATATAAGTATATTTATATAGAAATACATATTAAACATCTATGACTGGAGTACAAATGCTCGTATTCATCACACAAACATCTGCCCCCACCGGGATTCGAACCCGGGACCACTCGGCCACGGAGGTCGTCAATTCTAAATGCGCGTCAAAGAAATTTTATAAATAAATCAGTTTATAGTAAATATTAGAACAAATTTGTTTCAAAAGCGTTAAATTACCAAACATTAATTAGATACCTGTCGAAAAAACGACTGTTTACATACCACAAGTATTTTTTTCGCATTTTTTCACGGAACTCTGCGGCAACTTGACCTATCAACGGTCTGCGCGTGACTGTGCCAACCAAGAAGTGCTTGAATGGTGTGTTCAAGCAATAGGGTATTTGACAGTATTAAAAATAAAGTGCCAATTGTTAGCATCTGTACTTAAAATGATTATTGGCAGGAGTTTTCACTATTTTTACAGAAAAAAAATATTCATAATTTTACTAAAAACCCACGATAAAGATAATAGTTTTCTTGCCTATTGTCACGTGACCAAAAACGCTTTGGATTGGTGCAGCCTAAAATGACGTCACACGCAAGTAAACTTCCGGCAAAAGTGACATTAGATTGTATGGTTTGACGTTTTAATGACAGTCGTGTGACGTCACACGCCAGTGAGACGCCATATTGTCCAGAGAGATACGTTTTTCGCGGCAACTTGAAAATAGAGTTTTTGATTTCAGTTTCTTTACCGAAATACACAGCATAATGATGAATATCATTTATGGGTCAAGGTATACATTTCTATAATAAGATTCCTATTGATATCCTTGATTTGCCTCCTCATAAATTTAAAATACACATTTAGAATTGTTTACTTAAGAAAGGATATTATACTGTCAATCAATATTTGAATGATAAAACGGCCTGGTTGTAATTTTACCTGTAGATAATTTTTCAAAAGTTGTATTAAAACTAAGGCTCCCAGCCTTAGAAAGAGTAGTGATGAGAACCTTGCACTTACTCCCTTTCATATACTTGTTCATTTTGTTTTGAAAATTGTTTCTTGCTATTTTGGGACACATCTTTGCACTTATTGTTAGTAAATTCGTTGATTGTCTATTGTTACATATTTGACATTATGTGATGGAAGTTGACCTCAACACATGTTTGCAAGTTTGATGTCAACTTTCAATTGGACGACACTGTATGAAATAAAACAGGGAGAAAAAAGCAGCCCTTGCTGAGTTTCTTGCCGGTTCTTCTCAGTACAAGGTCTCTCGCCGTAGATTTGCGAACCGATGGCGTAGCTTTTCGACATTCACAAGTGCTTGTAACAGCCTAGACTAAATAAACGATATTGAATTTTGAATTAGTAAATAACGTGAGATCGTTTTCTAAATGGAGACCCGGCACTTTTCATAGAAAAAATGCTAAACTTGTATACATTTGAATTTGGTCTCAAAATAAAGCCTAAATATTTGCTACATAAAACTACCTTTGCCTTATTTTTAGTGAATCATGGAAAGAAGTTATATAATGATTAATATTTTTTGATATGGAAACCCTAAATCTTCAAGGGACAGAATTTTACTTCAAAATATTACTCAAGTGACTGTAAAAACCATGATTCCTTTGCTTTTTCTAAATAAAAAACCAAATGTCTCAATTTGACAATCCTAAAATACAAAAAAAAATCATTCGCATTTCGCATCCGCTCCCGCGTACTGTGATTGTGAATGTTCTCTGCTGTGATTGCCTTTTTATCCGTTATTTCTGTTGACGACCCGGCTACATATAGAGGTTATATTGACAAACCTACGTATTTGACATTGACGGCTAGCTGCTGATGACAAATATTGCCAGACTACGTTACCCAATTATGAAACACAGATAAAAAATCTAAAGAAAATATAACTAGAAAAAATTCCACGCGGACCAGGCAGCAGACGGGACTCGAACCCGCACCCTTCGCAATCCGGGCGAATGCACTGACCAATTATGCTACCCCGGCCCTCACGGACCACGTCGAAATTCTTCTAGCCATTCTTAAGCTGCAAGGCAGCGCCATCTCTTCGCATTATAGGTAACCCACAATGTCAAATGAATACTTTTACAAGTATTAAACATTTGAAATATTTTCTTTAGATTTAAACATCAAGCAGTTACATGCTTTAAAATAATAGAAATTATAACAGATAAAAAAATTAAAAAAGTATACAACTTTGGCACAAAATGCCGGGTGTCCTTTGTCAAATACTCTATTCTTGATTGGGACACGTTTTGAGCGCACGCGGTGCATCTAGGGTATGTAAAATCGTTGCGTAGAAACGGTATATGATCACCATCACCCTTCTAACCCGTTTCCGTGTTCTGTGCGACCAACATTCAGTGGGGTGGAAGAAAAGCAGCATTGGCAAGTTTGTCTTTAATGTCAATGTTAGTTCAATTAAGGTTGCGTCGCGAGTGGCGATGCGAGGCGCGTCTCGCGGCCGTACCGTTGGCGGGCGCGGTCGTGGTCGCAGCGCTGGTCGTGGTCGCAGGCAGCGGCGCGGAGGGGGGGGTGATGCGGAACAGGTGGATGTTGAGGTGCGCGCAGATCTCCAGGCACACCTGCCCCGAGTACCGCACCAGGTCCAAGCATACCCATATCTAGAGAGATTACGACACTGTAGTTTTTACAAGCTTTTATTTAACTTGCTATGTATGTTTGTTACGGTCAAATCTTACAACTCAATTTTAAAGCACTCGCTCTCAACCGATTAAGCTGAAATTTGATGTGCTCGTTCAGTTCGGATGACAATGCATGATTAACAGTGAGACGTCATTCTAAATCCAATATGGCGGCATACCCAAAATGGCGGACCAATCATTTTTAATGCATTCCTACAATATGGGTATCAAATTAAAGGGCCTGCTGAGAGTAACTCGAAAAAATGTGACGTCACTCTCAATCCAATATGGCGGACTTCTAAAATTTGAAAATCTATCTAGAAACAGATATCTTTAACTAATTCAGTTGAAATTTTCTTTTTTTCTTTTTAGCGTATTTGAATAAAAGCTTGTTTTTAAAAAGGTTTTTTTTATCTTAATTTTATTGTATGGAGGTTGGCTTCACTTTTTTTTACAGCAGCCACTGAACTTATAGGGATGATGACGGGGTACAGTAAACGAAATTCTATTTAGTCCGTCGGTAAGATGATCAAAAAATAATGGACACGCATTTTTTCTTTGGGCAATCAACCAAAAAATGACAAAGTTATAGCGCGTCAAAGTTTTGGAGTAGGGGCTGGTGACGTCACTTTTGAGTGAATTTTCGCTTATAAGTGTACTCAAACGTGACGTCATGCGACTTTTCAAATCAATATATCTCTGCAATGTTTATATTATGTGAAAAAAGAAAAAATACGTGTCCAATACTTTTTGATAATCTACCTGATAAACAAAGAAAAAAAATTAGTCATCATCCCTATTAGGATTGTTTGATAGTACTATACATATGAATTGTTTTTAGCAAAGTAGTAATTCTATAACTAATATCGAAACCAAGATATTTGAACTTGAATTCTAACAACAGTCATATGATATAAAAGCTCATAAAATTGTCTCCTGAGATTTTTATACATGTTAAGTATTGTGGTAACGCTTTCTAAAAGCTACATGGACATATATATATATATAGAATTGACATGATATTCACATACACGAGACCCACATGGAATATCGAAAGACTGATGTGATTGGCTGATGCGGTCAGACCAAACAAAAAGGGTCTGTTAAACCGTTATTACCTTAAATGGTATGTTTATGTTTGGACACGATTACATACGTTTGGTGACGTCGCCGAGCCTTTTGGACGCTTAGGTCCGCAGAAAACTGCAGGCCCACGAGTTTTGAAATAAAACAGCCCCGCGGCGGGTACGGGAAAAATCCACTCCGTGAGTTCTTAGCCGTAGTCGACTTATTTAATCAGATATTCCCAATAAAATGACCAATTTTCAAGAAGCCAGCTTGTTAGACAATGGGTAATTTTACTTCAATCAGTCGTCGGCCTAGGCATCGAATAGGGGTGATGACGGGGTACAGTAAACGAAATTCTATTTAGTCCGTCAGTTAGATGATCAAAAAATAATGGACACGTATTTTTTCTTTGGGCAATCAACCAAAAAATGACAAAGTTATAGCGTGTCAAAGTTTGGGAGTAGGGGCTCGTGACGTCACTTTTGAGTGAATTTTCACTTATAAGTGTACTCAAACGTGACGTCATGCGACTTTTCAAATCAATATATCTCTGCAATGCTTATATTATGTGAAAAATGAAAAAATACGTGTCCAATAATTTTTGATAATCAACCTGATAAACGAAGAAAAAAAAATTAGTCATCATCCCTATTGAATGCTAGATTTTAAAGAACAGCCTAGGCGCCCAATTAGCTAATTTAAACAGGGCCGATTGTAGTTTTGGCTTATATTATAACAGATTTCACGTTCTTCAATACGGCTAGTCGTATGCTGCATTGTACTGAATCATGTGAACAAATGTAAACATACACTCACTGAGGGGTGAGCACGAATATTAGCGAGAAAGTATCGGTATCGCCATCGTCAAAGTTGCTATGAAAACTAGGCAGCGCCTCTACCGGATTTTAGAACAAACTGAATTTGGCAGCACGAACGCTGTCGTAGCGAGACGCTCCAGTAAATATGTTACATACTGTAAGCTTCATTTGGCAGGTTTTAGTACAAATTTCGCCTTAACAGCAATATTATGTAGCGGTTTGATATCAGAAATAGTAAAAAAATCACAAAAATAAAATAACTCATTGTAACTGAGAAGTGGCGCCATAAAAATAAAAAACATTCAATAAATAATATTTTCTAAATATTCGCCTATTAAAAAGTTACATAGTGCCTTTACGAATTAGATGTCACTTAAGCGAAAATCGCTCGGCCCGCCATACATTTTTTTGTCAATCAAAAATCAATTCATACGCCAAATAGTAGTGCGTTATCGCTATTGGATTAAAAATGTCAAAATTGATGTAGTTTCAGCGTTGTGAACAAAAAAAAAACAAAAAATTGAGTTGCTTAAGAGAAGAATATTGTCGTACCTATATCTTATTAATTGTTAACTTAATTTAATTGACATGAACAATAGATTATAATTGTGAATATAATTAATATGGCGGATAATTTGGTAATCATTGATTAATTAATTTACTAATATAGGATAAGCCCGACATTGTTACTAACTTGTACTAATAACTATGGATTATAATTCTATAATTATCTGAAATAAATGATAATTATTATTATTATTAAGCGACACAAAAGTATTCAATTCTTCGTGAAACAGAAACAGATCGACGCAGAAAAAAAATGATTAAAATGATATATATAACACATTTTAGACCAAAGTGTTTAAGCGATGTGCATTTCCACTGTCGATATTAATTACCCTACAATTAGAATGGCGACGAATTTTTTTTTTAATAAAAACTTATAGCTGTCTTAAATAAAACTAGTTTTTACGGGTTAATGCACGAAACTTTATTTATTTATTGACGTTTCGCAGCCTTTTCAGGTCTGCATCGTCAGAATTATTCTGACTTTTATTTAATGAGTGATGTGCGTGAAAACCTAAGAAACAAATATTATAGCTGTCTTATCTAAAAAGTTACATAAAAATCCTACTTTTAAGTAACTTTTCTTGATTTGTTTGATTTAAATTTATTATCAGAAAGTATATACTTTGGCAAATCCGTAAAGTTTACGATACGATTTCGTAACGACAGACGTAGCGATACTATATGTCAAAAAATAGAAATATTGACAAGTTACGTAACGAAGCGTTACCATCTCGCTACGAAAGCGTTAGAGCTTCCAAAATCAGTTTCTTCTTACGTCCAGTAGGGGCGCTGCCTAATTTTCTTTTTTGTTTTTATGCCTAAACAGTGGGACACGGCATTCCTAAACGTTTTTCATTTTTAAATCTGTTTTTTATATTTTTTATTTTATAGTCATAATTGTTTTATCATTTACATTTGTAATGGAAAGTGACTTCATGAGTTATCTCATATTGAACTCATTTTTCAAATTGACGACTCTGTATATAATACAGGGAGAAAAAAACAGCCCTTGCTGAGTTTCTTGCCGGTTCTTCTCAGTACAAGGTCTCCCGCCGTAGATTTGCGAACCGATGGCGTAGCTTTTCGACATTCACAAGTGCTTGTAACAGCCTAGACTGAATAAACGATATTGAATTTTGAATTTGAATTTTGAATTTTTTGAATTTTTTTCATACAAAACTTTGACGATGGCGATACGAAAACTTTCTCGCTAATGTTCGTACTCACCCCTCAGTGAATGAATGTTTATTATTGTTCATACGATTTCAGTTATAATGCAGCATGTTGAACGTATTGCAATGAAAATTCGGCCGATCGACGTCGCAGCGTAATACAAAACGATTCCGTATTTTCACAACAATTAACCGGTATATAATCTACAATCTGCCTGTGACATTGTCTGTCATATAAACAAATTCATATTACAATAGGGATGATGACTAATGTTTTTTTTCTTCGTTTATCAGGTAGATTATCAAATAGTATTGGACACGTATTTTTACTTTTTTCACATAATATAAACATTGCAGAGATATATTGATTTGAAAAGTCGCATGACGTCACGTTTGAGTACACTTATAAGTGAAAATTCACTAAAAAGTGACGTCACGAGCCCCTACTCCCAAACTTTGACGCGCTATAACTTTGTCATTTTTTGGTTGATTGCCCAAAGAAAAAATACGTGTCCATTATTTTTTAATCATCTAACTGACGGACTAAATAGAATTTCGTTTACTGTACCCCGTCATCACCCCTATTGGAAATAAACAACTTGTAGTTCATAGACATATAAGTACAATGGTACTACTCTCTATTGAACTTTCTCTAAGACCGTTTGTCTTAACAATAAACAAATAGACCAATGTTGCTATGAAACTTTTGTATCGAGAATAAAAATGGCCAGTGTAAGTAGACCGATTACAAAATTTCACATTTCAACGTAAATGATTCGCTTTATAACTACTCTTTAATTTAGTAGTATTATAATAATAATAATAACCTTTATTTCTCACCTTAATCACAATGTTCACAATGTTGGTATTAATGGCTACATAAAAACAATGATATAAAAAGCATGCATTTTTTTTTACCAAAAATAAAAGGTACGTATTGATCAGATTATGATGGGTTGACACCTGAACTAGGATGAATCCTGTGTCTCAGGTAATCAACCCTCCACCCTATTCATAAAGTTGTGTACCATTTAGTAAACAATTTATTAATCCAGATAACTGTTCTTAAGTTATTAATTCAATGGAATAGCCAAAGGAGTTTGTTATGTGTGTGAGTGTATGTATGTGTATGTGTGTGTGTGGGTGTGTGTGTGTGTGTGTGTGTGTGTGTGTGTGCGTGTGTGTGGGTGTATGTGTGTGTGTGTGTGTGTGTGTGTGTGTGTGTGTGTGTGTGTGTGTGTGTGTGCATCTTATAATGTTTAACTTATTATTTTGAATATCGTTTCTGTATTTTTATAATCTAGCGTTTTTAAATTTTTTGAAGTGCAGTTTCAAGATTATTATTAATGCGTTTTTATAATGCGTTAAAAGTTTGGGAATACCCACAGTTTTAGGTTATTTTAATGTCACTTTTTTTAGTTATGATTTTATAAGAGTAAAAAAATCGGCCTTTTGTAAAATATTTTTTTGATTTGTTTACCATAAGTCTCAGAGGGAGTTGAAAAGATTACAGAGACAATGTATCATTCTAAAGATACTCATCTCTAATAGAGATACAAATGTTGAGCGTTCTGTATCTAAGAACATTTGACAATGTTCTAGTGCTCTTTGAGCAAGGAGCTTCCAAAGAAACAGTGAAAAATTACTGGAGCTAAAACATTACAAGGGATATTAATTACATTATTAGAAATACTAGAAGGAATTCAACACGGCCGCCCGGATAGCGGAAAGTGAAGTTCGAGTCTGTCTGTTTTCTTATAGTAAAAAGGAGATCTTTGAATTCTGCCCAATTGTGTACCTAGTCTAAAAATACTAAATTATTATTTTAAACTTGCATGGTCACTAACATTATAGCTATTAACAGGATTGTTACCATGTACCTTGTTTTTTATGAGTCTCCGATATTTCCGCCGCAGCCGCAAAAATCAAAAAAAATGGGTGCGTGTACTTATGTAGGCGTGTGAGAAGTTATCCTTCTTTGGCATCGTTTAAAATTAGTTTTTAATTGCATGCAAATAATGAATTACAATAAATTAATAAAAAGTCTGGAAAAGGACACAGTCAATAAAGTTCAGTTTTAATTTGAAAAAATAAATAAATAATCAAAATATTCAATTAAAATCGCTACTAAATATAATTTATTAGAACATATGTGATTTGCACTTGTATGAAACTCAAACACGTATTCCGAATATACAAACTAGAAACATGTGGATAAATATTATAAATATGAATACCTATAACTGTTACTTTATTACAAAAAATAAAGATGTGGTTTTTGGTTCTACTACACCAATGGTCAAGAGATGGCGCTGTAGTCTCCTGAATCGCGCTTTGGTTCCGTTGTTACAGATTAATAAATACTTTTGATAGGCCTTCACAATGCAGTCGTTAGCACGCACTAAATAGAGATTCTACTTCTATTTTGTTGGTATATTTTTTTTAATGTGCGGTAAACACTAAAGTAACATGCTGTTAAAATTTTGTGTTACAGTGATGCGCGCGCATCTTAAAATTTCACTCTCATCATTTTTTCATAACGCGCCTAAAGAAGTATAACTTCAAAAAGTGTCGGGAACAAGTGCGAGTGAATAGTGAGAATGTGACCAGTGGTAGGGGTACCGAGCGCAGTAAAAGACGACGTCAGAGGGTAGACCGATATGTCTGCCAGTAACATCTCTCTCTGGTCGGTCCCTCATGACTGAGGATCGTGGTCAGCATGCTAGTTGCATCTGGAATGGATGATCTGCCTCCACCGGGTTCTGTCCAGCGCGTCTCTCACAACCGTATAAAATTTGGACGACGACGTTTCTTTTATTTGATCTGTCCATCTGGTGAACGACCGCGCGATCGTTTGCCTTCGGTGTTCCCAACAACAATATTTTTTTCCAAATTGCGGTCATCCCTGAGCATTGTGTGGCCGAAGTATGATAGGATGCGTTGTCAGCATACAGTGGACAAACGAGTATTTATACGGAGCTGACTCAAAATCGATGCATTGGTGCGTTTCGCGGTCCAAGAAATTCTCAGCATTCGCCTCCAGCACCACATCTCGAATGCATCAATCCTTTGTCTTTCTCGGGCTAAAATTGTCCACGATTCAACTCCATATAAGAAGATAGGGAATACCAGGGCACGGTAATATTATCTATACAGTATTGTGACTCCGCCCTGTCCTTGAAAATAAATGCCTACACCGAGCGCTGTGTTGGCACGCGGTAGGGCCGCCAGCCTACAGTATTTTATGTAGTTTTGTTTTTAACGCGAGTGTAGGTAGATTACTCGTTTGTCTCTTTTTTCATCCTAACCACTTATTTATATATTATTCCAGATATTTTGCCCGATGGAAAAACCGAAATACCTAAATATTAGAATATTAACGTACTAGTAGATAGGTATATAAAAAATATTCTATAAAGGTAAGACACCTTTCAAATATTTTAGGTAATTTAAAAAATGATATCTCTGGGTGTGTTATTGAAGAGTTCAAGCAACCAAAAACAGCAATTGTGCTGTTGTACGATATTGATCGTCGTTTGTTCTTTTCCATACTAAATTATGTAGGTATCTACTTAATTAAATCAAATATTTACAATACAAAACGCACGTTTAAGCACGGCTAACTGCATAAAAAACAATTCAGACCGTTCGGTCGTCGTTGCGGCGCGGCGGCGCATTCGCGACTGGGTGCCCGCCGAGAGCCCATCGAACTCGAGTGGCGTAGGTATGACTCGCTTTCCGACCGTTTGTATGAAGATAGAATACTGTATGATATTATTACCGTGACCAGGGCTCGTATCAGTCTGATCTCGGTTTTGATATTGATCCCTCTTTTCTTCCAAATGTTGTTTAGTCGGGACATAGCATCTTTAGTCATACCGATTCTCCTTTTTATCTCGGGAACGCAGCTGCCATCATTGTTGATTTGGGAGCCCAAATATATGTAGTGGTCGACGTTATTAATGCCAGGAATGTTACTGTTGACATTAGTTAACTTTCCGGCTCTATCAACTATCATGATTTTGGTTTTTGCTCTATTCACTGTGAGACCGATGTTGCCACTCTCTAACTCGAGTCTTTGGAAAAGCTCACACATATCTTCCATGGATGTTGCCAGAAGAATTGTGTCGTCAGCGTATCGGAGATTTGATAGTCTCTTTCCACCTATGGGAAAACCCTTCTCCCAGTTTTCTATAGTTTTTCGAATAATATACTCTCCATATATGTTGAAAAGGGCGGGAGACAATATGCAACCCTGTCTCACTCCTTTTTTAGTGTGGTACATATTAGAGCAGTCCATACCTATTCTAGCCGCAATTACTTCAGATACTCCGTGATCATGGCGCTTGCAACAGTGCCGAAATAACGGAGACTCATAAAAACAAGGCACATGGTAACATTCCCGTTAATGGCTATAATACTAAATTATTCTTAAAAAGACGCACTCACAAATTCAATAGAAATTGGCGTAAAATTAGAATTACAATACTTAAAAAATGGGTATCTGCGTATATAGAAATGCTCTTACCTAGACGAAATTTGACCGGACTGAGATGACAGCCAATAGAATTGGTTTATAATCATTTCCTTGGTTGTGATTGGCTGCATCAAAAATCACATGACTGTGACGTGACATGTCACATTGGAACTATGGACATGTCAGTGAGGTTTAACTGTCTTGATACAGATTCAGTTTTATTAGTGTTTTGATAGACTTGCAATATAATATTTTGTTATATTAAACCGTTTTTGTATATTTCTTGATTACCGTAGCTTATTTTATTTTAATTTAAAGATGCACCTTACCATAATAATATTATTTGTGTTTCCATTTATTTAAATATTCAAACGACTTTTCTATGTTATACAAGAGAATAAAAAAACGAATTTACATGTACAATTTACATGATAATACTTGTGGCGGTGACATCTATATGCCCCACACAATATATACGGATGGAGGAAATCATTACTCACCATCCTCAAGAGATGGCGTTACCTGCACTGCGATCATAACAGTATGGAAGCCTACATCGCGCAAATGAAATTCGGAGGCTAACTCTTCATATATACGATGCCCGACCAACATCAGTCGAAGGTACACGATTGGGCAGAGTTGTATGGAGAAAAAATGTACCCTTTTCTTTAGATTTATTAATTTCTTTCGATTGTAAACGGATTATATATAATTAGCAAAAACCAGTGAACCAAATGTTCACCAAAACCTGATTTAAAAAAAAAATGTATTTAATTAATTGAGAACTTCGGAGATTTTGTGTGGTTTCGTTTGAAATTCGTGATTTCTCGAAAACCGGAAGTGCTACGTTACTCAAATCCGGTTTGTAGTCTTATCAGACTATTCTTAACTTATAACTTAAACATTCTCTTTATCTATCTCTTACGGTTTGGCCGCTGAAACAGCACCACAGACGGACGGACTTGTCTAATAGATAAGAGATATTTGATTATACATACCGTACACAGCCATAGTACGTAGTATTCCGGTATGGCGTTGTTGAAGTATTGGTTGAGGAACAACATGGCCGGCCCCAGTAACGACCAGTCGTAGTAGTCCATCTCACTCTTTGTCATTTGCGCCACCTGAGACAGCAATAATAAATTGTGAAATAGAGTGAATGCATCTGCAGTCGTTAGCACCCACCAATCCGCACTGGGCCCGCGTGGTTGGTCACGGTCCAATCTCCCTATTCCATCCAAAGGGAAGGCCTGTGCCCCAGCAGTGGGGACATTAATATGCTGAGGATGATGATGATACATTCCTGCAATTTTCTTGAGCAGCGACCATAGACAAGGAAGGATGCGTAGGAGCAATTTTACCTATAAAAACGTCTACTGCACACTAGCAATAATAAATAGTGAAATAGAGGCAGCTAAACATCCCGGCGATTTTCTTGAGCAGCGACCATAGACAAGGAAGCCTGCGTAGGAACAATTTTACCTATCAAAACATCTACTGCACAATAGCAATAATAAATGGTGAAATAGAGGCAGCTATACATCCCGGCGATTTTCTTGAACAGCGACCATAGACAAGGAATGATGCGCAGGTTTACTTGACTGTGGTTTTTCTCAAGAACTTTTCCGCCACTTCTTCTTGCGTACACGATTGAATCTGCGTCCTATTTTTATATGGTAAATTGAGTTGTTGAAGTTGAGCAACTTTCGCAGTGGTCGGGCATTGGATGGGTGACCAAAAATTTACTATCTCGAGCTCCTTCGTGCTTCGGAAGGCACGGGGCCGTTGGTCCCGGCTGCATATGCAGTCGTTAGCACCCAACAACCCGCACTGGGCCCGCGTGGTGGGTCATGGCCCAATCTCCCTAACCCATTCATAGGGAAGGCCTGTGCCCCAGCAGTGAGGACATCAATAGGCTGATGATGATGAAATTGAATAACTAATTTTGGTAATAAATTTTATTTTTAAGCATGTAACTGCTGGATCTTTAAATATAAAGAAAATATTACTAGAAAAAATTCCACGCGGACCAGGCAGCAGACGGTCAAATGTTTAATACTTGTAAAAGTATTCATTTGACATTGTGGGTTACCTACAATGCGAAGAGATGGCGCTGTCTTTCAGCTTAAGAAAGGCTAGAAAGAATTTGACACAGCCGTCAGGGCCGCTTTACTCTAAAGTTCTTTTCAGAGGTGAACAATGACCTTTGAATTAATTATTTCGGCAGCACTTTTAACAAAATTAGGTATTTCAAATCAATCAAATAAAAGTTATACTGGCATTCAAGCAACTACAACACAACCGAACTATTCAATTATTCTAATGAAAAGTTTACTAGAAAAAATCCACGCGGACCAGGCAGCGGACGGGACTCGAACCCGCACCCTTCGCAATCCGGGCGAATGCACTGACCATTATGCTACCACGGCCCTATTGACTGCGTCGATTTTTTTTTTTCTAGTAAACTTTTCTTTAGATTTAAACATCTAGTATTTAACTGCTTAAAAATAAATAAAAACATAACGATAATTGCTATTTCTTCTTTCAAATGTTTAATACTTGAAAACGTATTCATTTGACATTGTGGGTTACCTACAATGCGAAGACATAGCGCTGCCTTGCAGCTTAAGGCTAGGAAAATTTCGACGCGGTCAATAGTGCATAATAGTCAGTGCATTCGCCCGGATTTCGAAGGGTGCGGGTTCGAGTCCCGTCCGCTGCCTGGTCTGCGTGGATTTTTTCTCTAGTAAACTTTTCTTTAGATTCAAACATCTAGCAGTTAAATGCTTAAAAATAAATAAAAACATAACTATTCAATTATTGCTAATTTCATGTGCATAGTTTGTTTTTTAATTACCTTATAACATGTGTTTGTAACTGATTCATTTATCATAAGTTAAGTTAAGTTAAGTTCTGTTTTAATTAATTTGTTAATTTATTAAATATTCTATGTATTATTTAGATCATAAAAGCCTGAAATACAGGTACAATTTAAACTGTAACCTAGTTCAGGCATCCATTATTTTGTATTTTATCAAAGCCAAAAATACAAAAATTGGGGAACCTGATACGCAACTACAAGGACTGATATTTACGCAAATAATGAAAAATTGGTTAGCGCGATCGGCTGCGATCGTTGTAGTTAAGCAACTCTCGCAGTGGTCGGTCATTGGATGGGTGACCAAAAATTCTATAAGGACTGATATTAATGCAAATAAAATTTTGAAAAATTGGTTAGCGCGATCGGCTGCGATCGTTGTAGTTAAGCAACTCTCGCTGTGGTCGGTCATTGGATGGGTGACCAAAGATTTACTATCTCGCGCTCCTCCGTGCTCCGGAAGGCACGTTAAGCCGTTGGTCCCGGCTGCATCTGCAGTCGTTAACAGCCCGCGTGTTGGGTCATGGCCCAATCTCCCTATTCCATCTATAGGGAAAGCCTGGGTAAAACTGTAGTTCCAGGGCCCAAAAGGTGATACTTGTTTTTTTGTAGAAAAGGTCTTTTTAACAGTTTTTTTTTCTGGCGCTTCGCCGGCCGCTGCCGCGGCACGCTCGCTTTGCTCGCTCGGCTCGCGCGTTATGGTCACAACACTAACCTAGTGTGAAGTATCACCACTTGATAAGAAAAGTAAAAATTTTCAATATTTTTTCCTAAAAAACTACCAGTGCATAAGTGTGACATTTTTTTAAATAATGTGGTTAACAGAAACCTTTTTAACAACAAAAATGCGAAATTACAACCAACAAAACTGTGAAGTTTTTACTTTTGGGCCCTGGAAGTACAGTATATCCAAAGCCTGTGCCCCAGCAGTGGTTACATTAATAGGCTGATGATGACGACGATTTTCAACTTACCACAAGTCTATTGGTGACTTTGGCGGCGACCATTCCGAACGCTAGTATGTACAACGCCGGATGGTTCTCATACACATGGGACTCGCTCTTCTGGAAGATTATGAACGCCGGTACCACCACGAATGAGAAGGGGATCACCGGCGACAGTATACTGGTGCCCTGGCGAAAACTGACGCTGTAACTCGGTTCTTGACATATTGTTTTTATAGCCAGGTAGGCAAATGACTCTACCCCACCTGATGTTAAGTGGTGATAGAGCCCAAACGTGAGGCATTGTCCTAATACAACGCGATAACGCGAATGAGCGATGCGATCATCGTACGAGTCGACGATCAAACATATCGATCTAGAATAGGTGTCCTAATAGGCGATCGCGCGATGCATTCGCGCGACTAAAATGTTTAAAAATCTATTCGCGCGAACTCGGTCCGCGCGAACGCGCAATCAAACCTATTAATGATGAATAGGTGTCCTAACTGAAGTTCGCGCGATGATCGCGTCGCGTCGATAGGAAGTGGGGAGAGGGGCAGAGCTAACCCGTTCCGTATTCGCGTTCTATTAGGACACCCAGTTCGCGATCACGCGATGGTCGCATCGTTTAAACGCGCGATGATCGCGTTATCGCGTTGTATTAGGACAATGCCTGAAGATAGCTGGTACAGCAGTTATAAACTGCCACACCAACCATCCTCACCTTGCCGGCCTTCAAATATGCTTCTTCACGCCACATGAAAATCATACCGTCAGTGGAAAGGCAAACCGCTTATGCGCCACAATGAGTTCTGTTAAATAAATCAATGCAATCAGGATTTTTTTTGCGAGACGAGATTTAAGCACTTTTTAGCGAATTTTTTTTCCTAACTCAGCAGTGAAGCGACGTAAAATTTTGGTGTTTTTTCAACCGATATGGTTCATCGCCTTACTATAGTCTGTCCATTATATTATTATCTTTTTCACACATCGATCGAAGTAAAAATAGTGACACCCTATCACATAACTCGTTCGATTTAAAGCTAAAATCGATTTTATGCTAGAACATTGTTTAATCGATTATAAGTATCGAAATAATTTTAGTTATCAAAAATACTGGTGTTTAATAAATAATTACAAAATCTCATTAAATTTATTATTTTACCTAGTACAAATATTTGTGTGATGAGCACGAGTATTCGTTCTGTATCTGGGTGTGATTTATCTACATTATGTATATATATACAACTAAAAAAGAAGTATACTTTTTATATGTTTGTTTATCCTAATACTAATACTCTGTACAATTAGATTCATTGACTATAATTAATAATTTCATTTTAAAAAAGGTTTATAAAAACTATATCTTTGACTTTATTTTCCTTACAATTTGGTTGTAACGATTTATTTCTAACGATAATTTGTAATCTGCGGCACAATCTTAGTAATCATTATGTGTGGCACATCACTAAGTGGGCGGTACCCGTCCATGAAGTACAATATTATTTGTATGACAGTTTAACGTAAACAAAACAAAATTACAAGGGCGTCGATCTGTCAAAAAGATAATAATAGAATAGGACAGACTATAATTGGCGTGTTTTAATAATAATAAATTAATTTCAGATAATAACGTCCATCAAAACAAATCAATAAATTTATGTCACAAAAAAATTCAAAATTATGATGATGTATGATTCGATGTTAGCATAACTAAAAAATGTATTTGAAAAGAAAATATATGAAAAGCCTAATTTCGCTTAAAAAACAACATCTCATTCGTAAAGAATAGTTGTTTACGCGACGCGACTTTCATGTAAGAAGTACGTAAGAGGTATTAAAACATAAGATAACTCTAAGGTTGACTCGAGTGTTTTAATACCTAAATTATATCCATTTGCAAATACAATTTTATCCTGACTAGGAACAATTGAAATTAAACAAATATTTTGCAAAACTTTTCTTAAATACCGTAAACATAACACGATCGTCATAAAATTGTATGGGAAGCGCGGGAAATTAAGTTCAAATTACGAATGCGCGCGCCTCTTTTTTCTCATTCAGCTTAATTTTATGACCTTATTTCAACAATTAAAAAATATAATGATAAAAAAGTCATTAACGAGTTATTTTACGATACAGCGAGCTGTACCCCTAGCACGAACCATTATCGAATTCGTATCGTTTGCGAGTCCAAAATGACATTGTCAAATGTGTACTTATTTTTAGTTCTCGAATTATCGACTATTCGAATTCGTTAATGGTTCACGAACCATTATCGAATTCGAATACTACTCTACTCTACCATTATCGAATTCGAATAGTTTGCAAACCGAAATGTCAATCTCAAATTTTGAATGGAAACTTGAAACAGCAGCGGCACAAAGTACGTAATGAGAACTAAAAATCAGTACACATTTGACAATGACATTTTGGACTCGCAAACGATACGAATTCGATATTGGTTCGTGCTAGGGGTACAGTATTGTAAAGTTTTTCAACACATTTGTTCAAAAATTGCATTTATGAAGGTTGAATACTTTAAATCTAAAGAAAATATAACTAGAAAAAATTCCACGCGGACCAGGCAGCAGACGGGACTCCTCGTTGAATACTTTGTTTGAAAATTCAAAATTACAGGCCACACGCACGCATCCCATATATGGCACCGTGCGTATTCTTTTAAGCTTTTTTTTTCGATCGAACCTCCTCGGAGGCGCTTTTAGTCTATACCTTATCTCACTTTAACTTAAAAAAAAAAAACCGAATATGTAGTTTTAATTTTCACCACCCGCACGCGATCTATCAAATTTACTATCACGAGCTCCTCCGTGCTCCAGAAGGCAAGTTAAGCCGTTGGTCCCGGCTGCATCTGCAGTCGTTAGCACCCACCAATCCGCACTGGGCCCGCGTGGTGGGTCATAGCCCAATCCATAAGATTCCATCCATAAAAGGTGCTGTGCCCCAGCAGTGGGTCATTAATAGGTTGGTAATGATGATAACGTGATGAAGTTTATCATATTTTTTTCGTGAAAACAATATTTTAGTCCTTATTACTGTATACTAAAGTGGCGTTGAAGCGACTTTGCTTATCCACTGTCGATATCGTCTAGATATAAAAAGCGGGCTACTCTAACAAACGATAAGCAAGCATCGTGCGCTACTAAAAGAAGCATGCAACATTCTCAAAATGAAGTGAACACAAATGCATGATAAACGCCACAACCACAATCGTTTGCATGTCCACCCTTTCGCCTAGCCGCTATCTATGGGCAACTGCAGATTTGCTCGATTCAGATCGAAAAAAAAAAAGAAGTTATATCAAACGTGCATACAGCATGCGATCGACTACTAAAGGACATGGTAAAGTTTTGTATGAGCGACTGCCCTGGCAATGTATAAATACTGTACTTGGTAATATTTAATGGTAAATGGCTGAATAATTATAATTTCTATGAAAAAAGGCTCAGGAACTTTTTTGATAAAGTCACAATCTTGAAAATTATGAGAACTCCTACTATGTCATTACCTTACTAAAGTAGATAAAAGATGTTGCCAACTATTTACAGAGTCATCAATTTCGCATTTTCTTAGAATCTTTCTTCCCATTTCTCTGATTGACTCTTCACAAAAAGTGTTTTTAAAGCGAAAATAAAATACAAATAGTTTGTTATCGTCGGCCTGACAGGAAATCTGTGAAGTTTTATTTTGTTCATTTGCAAAAATTAAAGGATTAATTATCATACAGCCTTATCTTAAGCCTGATCAGAATAATAAAATCTATTATTTTAGGCCTTCAGTGATTTGTTTTGATAAAAATTAGGGCCAAATATGTCATAGTTTGAAGGAGTTTAGAAATAATATTGTTTATTTCGATATACTTACACAAATATTTTTTGTGTACATTTGTTGTTAATTTATTTTGTAAAACGGAACATTTTGCTTTTTAAACAGACATGAAGTCAATTTTTATACTTTTAAATATTTGATTATTTAACGAAAGTTGTATGAGAATAATAAACACGTAATAATTAATAAATAAATATTGTAAAGTTACGGGCTAGTGCGAAATATTTATACACGTTAAGGGCAGTTTCTTAGCCATGTCCTTTTCTATTAAATTTGCCAGTCGTCGTTTTCGTAAACCGCCGGGCCAACTAATTAAAACGGGCTCGATTACGCTCTGTTTAAACCGAGTCAATGCGTTTTGTTAATCACATGAAGAACAGACGGCCTGCCGAGAAAACAAAAACGTACGACGCACCGAGCAAACCTGTAGGCACTTTAAGGCATTGCAATCTGCGCACGCGCCAGTGCGCCGTTAGTAGTCATACGCTGTGCGAGTCATGTTAGTGTCAACGTCACAATGCGTAAAACATGGGGTCCTTACTGCTACGGTGGAGCCGTTCTTGCCAACTCCACCCCTCATTATCACATTAACGTAGTTGAAGATAAGGTACACCGCCCCGACGATCACGGCGCAATTCGCTAACAGGACCAAACTGACGTTTATCGAAGGCAACTGTGGTTAGTCGGCCACATGCAATGTCGGCGCGTGTAATGGCGTAGCCGGTCGGTGATCGTCATGCGGTTAAGTCCCGGGCGGCGGCGACATATCGGAGAGAGAAATACAAACATGCCATTAATTATGTTATCGAGTCGAGTTACATTACGATTGCTCTCATAACTCATGTGCTGTCTTCACTCATTCCGTTTTAGAAGAAATCTACAACATCCACCATCCATCCACCTTAACTATCCCGAAACATTAAAGTAGAATAATAGATAATAACCCGGTGAGTGAAATGAAAAGGTTATTGTGGTAGCGAAGCCGCAAGTGAAGGCGCATCAGTTCCAGAAATATTGAGAAGAATTTGCAAATCTTTCGCTGTGTTATATGAATGTTCTCTTACGGCGACTGTGGATCCGTTTTTGCCACAGCCTCTAAGGCGGAAGGTGGAGAAGAAGTTGCCGATAAAGCAACACTGGGCGGTGTTGCACAAGGTACTGACCACCAGGTTCAGGGGCAGCCCGGCCACTGGTATCTGAACCATTCATGTTGCATTAATTGACCAGAACTCAAACCTTTACTATAACTATAAAATTCGCTAAAGCTTAAAAGTCAATCACTTAGTCAATATTTTTATTGAAAATACTCATTGTAAATTATCTCAATATAGTTAACTGAACGATTCAAAAGAGTTGTGCTATTCATTTGATTTGATTAAATATATTTCGAGTTTGCACGAACACCTGAAAAATTTAAGTGTCTATATTTATAAAAACTAAATCTTTAGTAGGTAGCTGGTAGCCAGTCGCAACAGGATCTGATTTTAGTAATGAGTGAAGACCCACATGAAAAAAAAATAACGCGACTAACCAGCCACATCCACAATTACAAATATAATGTCTAACACTTGACAGTACGATAAGATCTAAAGTAATGACAGTGTTTACCTTAACAACTAAATGTATAGATCATGCTCCATGTCTTTACGAAACAATACTAGGAGGTAATAAGGTAACAGTGAGCATAACCTTAAACTCATAATGAGTTGTGAACTAACACGCTATTAAAAAAACCCACATGATAATAAGCGATGGAAACGATATCAAAATTAACGATTCAAAGCCCTATCGATCACCCTTACACACATTCATTCAATTTAAAACAGCAGCAATTCAAACTATTAGTACTTTTCTTAGGCTTTTTGAAAATGGCGTAAATTCGATAGATTTTGTACTGATATATTTTATTTGATATCCCATTCAGTTTGAATCAGTCCATAATCTATTTTAATGATGATTAGTGTGTAAAGGCTTTATATAACTAAAGATTAAACGTCTAATTAAAAAGTATACATCTCCATTACAATACAAGTGAAACAGTGTCCATTATTTCACTTATGAAACAGTAAGCCCAACGCATTCATAAATCCTAACTAAACCTGGCTGGAGGAACGGGAGAATCCGGTAATTGAGCTAGTTAACTATTTTAATGAAAAGTTATCTTTTCTTATTCTTTCATTTTGTATGTTATTAAGAAGTACACCGCCATGAAAAGCATTTTTCGTTATGATATGGACCAAGGATGGTTTGAAGCGGATTAAAACTATGGTTATTATCAAATAGAGCTTCAATTATATGTATTCCTTCAATGCATATATTACTCTACAGGAATGTATAGAAAACTCTGAATTCGATACAAGATGGATTTAAAAGCTATCTGTGATGAATGGTCGAGATTGAACGAAGCAAAAGATTGTTGACATAGTTTGAAGAGTTCTAATTAGTTTATGTGGACGATTTATCGATTGATGACCCGACCACGCAAGATCTCCCATACCCCCGGCCGAGTACCAGGCAGTAAAGTCTCACAGCGACAGTGGAGCCGTTCCTGCCGACGCCTCCGGACGCGATGGCGCCCCCCAGCGAGTTAACCGTGAGGAAAGCACCGCCGACCGCGGCCAGAGCCAGCGAATACCGAATCTCTATCGCACCACCGACCTATTTGTTACAGGCGCGACGTTGCACTTTTTTTAATTACTTTAGATAACAATCATATTGTATTAGATAACATTATGGTTCTTATTCGAATAATAGAACTATAGAATGGTGATTTTGAAAATAATAAAACAAAGAAAAAGATGGGATTTTAAACTGTACATCAAACATTGGTGACTAAGTCTTAATAACATTGACGTACAGCTCATTTCATTGATTAGCTTCAAATAAGATGTACAGAATGTTGTTTAAACACTTTTAATTTAATCAGCTGCCTTAAATTTCATTGATAATGATTTCATGTGGGTGTTTTTAAAACAATATCTCATACTTATATTATTTGAATACATCAAACTGCCTGTTTTTGTCTCAACAAGCAATAATGTGTATATACGTGTAGTAATATATCATAGAACAGATGGATAAAGTACGATTTCATAATTATAGCATAGTTATAAACATTCCACATTATCTTCAAGGGTGATTTAATGGGAAAAATACTTAAAAACAACTACATTTATCAGGGGGAATCCAAAAATTGAATGTTTATAAGTGTTTTTACATAAGAGTGTCTGAAAATTTACTTAAGGTTTGATTTGAGTGCATTACCTGCATAGTCCAAAAATCTGCGCCAAGAATGGCGGAGATCAGGTAGATGCCCATGATGGAGTACTGCGCTTCTGTGACATCCACGCGACCCAACTTGAGGGTGCCAGTCACGTACGCCTGCCAATGCGCACAGTAGAACAGCGTCATCGCACAGAAACACTGAAAGTAACGAATTTCTTCTTAATTTTATTTTCTCACACCAATTAGCCTAGCCCCAATGTAAGCACTGTAAGGCCTGTGTTATGGGATACTTGGGTAACGGATAGAATAGATATCTATACTAATATTATAAAGAGGAAAGGTTTGTATGTGTGTAACGAATTGGCTCAAAAAGTACTGGACCGATTTTAAAAATTCTTTTATGATTTGAATGCTAAATTATCACTGATTAATATAGGCTACAGTGTATTTTCAAAAAAGTTAGGGTTCTATATGAAAACTTTGATAATGTAACCCAACGTGTGTAAAAAAATATATCGCGTACGCTGCGGAAGTCATTGTCAATAGAGCAAAGTGATGTACTAAAGTTTTATAGAGGATACCAATATCTACAAAAAGTCCGCGATACCATATATGTCTAACTACTACAGTTATATCACAACTAGAGGTCTTCTGCGGTCTCACCCGCGTTAATTTGAAGAAATAGGTTTATAGTGAGTCAAACTTAAAATATAGACATAGGTTGTCGTGGGCTTTTTTACAGAACTTTTAAAGGGAAAGAATTCCGTCCTACATGATTTTTGTGTAACTTTAACCGTTTACCCAGCGCACGCAACGGAATCTCACAAATGGAATAGTTTTACCCGTTTTTGCAACATTTTTCATCGATGCTCCTCTGCTACTGGTCAATAGCCTGGTAATAGGCCTATAGCCTTCCTCGATAAATACACTTGGACAGTGTACAAGTGGACATACAAAAATAATTTTTCAATTTGGAACAACAGACCAATGTTGCATTCGGTACAACGGGTCCTAAACTACGCAACGATTTTTTTACTTGGAATGGAAGGTTTATAATTATTATGAAGAAGGTCATTGTGTATAATACAAGCCTTTGAACAAAAACAGCTCTACACCGAAGCAAAGCGAGGGCGGGCCACTATACTGTATATATATATATATATATATAAGTATATTTATACAGAAATACATATTAAACATCCATGACTGGAGTACAAATGCTCGTATTCATCACACAAACATCTGCCCCCACCGGGATTGGAACCCGGGGCCTCTCGAATCGGCGACACCATGAAACCCTGCGTATAAACCACTCGGTCACGGAGGTAGTCGGAACTGAGAAGGCGAACTATATAAAGACAGTATGTATGGGAGTCATGCGCATACAGAACGTGCCCGCACGGCGCGGCGGCGCACTGCATACTGGCGCGGAGCGCGCGGCCTGAGATATTTATATGTCGCCAATCAACCGTCGCAATGTTTTTATCACCGCCGAGCGCTTCCACGGCTTCTACCAACGGCACAAGCACCAACACTGGCGAAGGACGCGTAGCGCGCACATATTTACGACGATGTTGGAGCGAGACGGAAATTGTGTCGATGTGCTGTCCTTGTCTAACCATACCTTGATCATATAAATAGGGGAGCCTAAGCTCGAATAAAAGTGTTTGTTTCAGTTCTCCTCGTGTCGCGTTCGTGGTAGGTCGTGTGACTCCGCTCGTCGTTGAGCCCGCCTGCCCCCACTGTGCCGAGTGCAGAACCGTAACTACCCTCCTCCGCGTTCGCGTGTGAGGTCGTCGTACGACCACCAAACAAATTCTATCTTTTTCTGTGTTGCGATATTGACGCCTAAGTGTTTGTGTAGTGTTTTTGTTTCTTGTGTTTTTAGTGCTAAAAACTACAAGTGTTTCCCCAGTGTTTTTTTCGTTCCTACCCTCCAATCCACTTTTTTCATAACTACCCTCCCACCTTTTTTTCTCTTTCTTTTTCTGTCCTTGTCCCACATTAACTTTTCACTCCTACCCACCTAAATTTTTTTGTTTCGTTTCTACCCACCGGACTTCTGTGTCATTTTTTGTTTCGAAAATGCCACCGAAACCGCTTCCACAACGGAAGCCTCCGGACCCACGTCCACGTCCCGCCACTGGCAGGGCTGCGGTCCCACCCGCGCCCGCCCCCCGAATGGTGCAGACCGCGCCACCCACCGCTCGCCAGCCCCCCAGAATGGAGGCGAGCACACCGAAGCCGAGCGCGGCCCCGGCGCGCATGGAAGGTGCTGATGACCAGCCCCGACCCTGCCCCGCCCCGGCCACCGCTCACCCCCGTGACCCACGCAGACGCCAACCTGATGACGATGAGGCCGCCGGGGGCGATGAAAAGCGCCCCAGGCACGGCCCCTCGCCACCCCAGCGAGCCACCGCGCCCGCACCCAGCACCAGCGGGACATATGTCCCACCCCCTCAGAGGCGTCCAGCCTCCTCATCAGCTACCTCTGCCGACACCGAGTCAGAATCTGACTCAGAAATCGAGCTTGCCGGTGGGATGGAAGGGCCCAGCAGCCCTCTCCCGCCCCAGCATTTAGATAACACCGCCAGCACCATCTATTGCCAAGTGCAACCACTCGACGAGAGTGACGGCGCGCACGCGAGGTCCTACGCCCAGGCCGTAACGACCCGTGCGACGCCTCCTCCGTCTCCCCATACACCACCAGCCACCGCAAGACCCACCGCTAGAGGGTACCCACCAATAGTAGTGGAGAGACTGCCGAACTGGCCGCTCCACTTCCGAAAGCTGAAAGATATACTTGGCCACACCCCAAACGCGCGCCCCTTCAGCACGGGCGTGCGATTCTCACCTAAAAGTGAGAACGAGTTCAGATTAACCCAGAGGTATTTGGTAGAAGCCTCAACAGCTAACTCAGAAATTGTTTGGTATTGCTATGCCCCCCAGACAGACCTACCTACCAAGGTAGCTATACGAGGCATCCCGGCGGACACCGACCCCCTGGCCATCACGGAGGCACTGGAGGAAAGGGGCTTCCCGGTATCCTTCGTGAGAAGCATCCGAGGGAAGAGAGGCCGCCCGGGTTGCATTTACCACGCCCAGTTAGAGCACCTCCCCCAAGAAGAGCTCGCTCGCCTATATTCCACCGACGAACTCCTGGGCATGCCAGGGGTGACAATTGAGGCCTGGAAGCCAAGGGCTGGACCAGCACAGTGTCACCGCTGCCAGGCCTTCGGACACAGTTCGCTGAACTGCCACCGGCCCAAAAAATGTGTCAGATGCGCAGGAGATCACTCCGCAGCCGACTGCCCACGCTCTGAATCCACTCCCCCAAGCTGCGCCAACTGTGGGAAGAGCCACGCTGCCAACGACAGGAGGTGTAAAGTGTTCCTGGCAGCAGCGCGCCGCTCCAATCAACGCGTCCAACCCCCCATCCCAGGAGGAGTGCCCCACCCAGGGCAACAGCCACCCAGCACCAGGGTACCTCACCAGCCCCCTCCAGTGAACACACTTGAAACCCAAGCGGGACCAACCCTGGCCCCCCCCGCCAATCCGCCTACCACCAGAGGAGTGCCAACCTCCTCCAGGAGGAGAAGAAGAAGAGGAGGAAGAAGGAGACCGCAAGCGGCAGAAGAGCCTAACGCTCCCTCCGCCCCGACCTCCCTTCCCCCCCCCGCACCCATTACCCAGCAGGGTTTTCCCCAAGGGGGAGGCCCACAGTCCGCCACCACTCCAACAGCCTCATTTCGCCCAGTGAGAGCTGCTCCCCAATGGACGGGACCTCCCCCTCCCCCCCCCTCCAACGTCGGAAGCACACCAGCCGACCACACGGCCCAGAGGCCCCCAAGCTTTCCCCACCCGTCGACCCCAAGTGGTCCAACATGCCAGGCCGGCTCCCAGACCGGCATTCCACCCTCCCCCACCCCCACCGCAACAGGCACTGCTCCAACAAGCAGCCACCATTCCACCCCCCAGGGTACAACACCAACTCCACCCACAACCCACTCCCCTCCCCCAGCTCCCAATGCAGGCGGTGCTGACCATTCTATACCGCCTTTTGGAGGACATCAGCAGGGGAGCAGACCCAACCCAGGCCGTACTGAGGGCACTGACCTGGCTGCTCCAGGGTGCCCACAACGGAAACAATTAAGGATCATATATTGGAACCCAGGAGGCATAAGAAGACACATGGACGAGCTTCGCCTCATTGCCACCCAGCAAGACGTCCACGTCATCCTCCTGGGAGAAACCCTCCTGACCCCGAAGCACAAACTGAAGCTGCCTAACTTTACTACCTACCGCCGTGACGAACAAACTCCGGACGGGATCGCCTACAGGGGCACAGCAGCCCTGATTAGAAGGGACATCATCCATGTTGAACTCCCATGGGCCCCTTTCATTTCTACTCGTACTATAGGAGTCCGCACCAGGGCAGGCGACAAGGACCTGAAGATTTACGCGGCCTACAAGCCCCCCCAGACCCAAATCCAGGAGACGGATCTGGACGCCATCTTCTCGGACGATGTCCCCACAATACTGGCTGGCGACCTTAACTGCAAGCACAGCGCGTGGGGCTCGCAGAAGACCAACCACGAGGGCCGCAAACTATACAATGTAGCCGAGAACAGGAACATAGAGGTGGTAGGGCCGCCGGACGCAACCCACATCCCGGCCGACCCCCGCAGCAGTCCGGATACAATCGACATCGCCCTAATTAAAAACATTTCCACACCGGTAAGCGTCGAGGTATTATACTCGACGAGCACGCAGCACTTACCGTTACTCATATGCATAAATCTAGACCCCAATGCAGTGCCGCCGGCCCCTCCCAGGTACAAGACAGACTGGGAGGCTTATACCAGAGACCTGAGCGATTACAAGCTGCCCCACCCGCTTAGCACCCAACTTGGCATTGATAACAATATCGGTCACCTCGTCCAGGCGATGAGAGAAGCCAAGGAGAGGCACACCACCCGGACCACCACCCAGCGAAGGGACCCTCTTCCCCTCCCACTCCAGAGAAAGATGGCAGAAAAGAAGAGAGTCAAGAAACTCTGGGCCATCACTCGCTGCCCTAATGTCAAAACTAGACTGAACCGAATCACTACCGAAGTAGCGTCAGGAATACAACAATGGAGGGGAGATTCCTGGAACGCCACCATCTCCAAGGCCACAGACTCCAAACCCAGGCTCTA